TGTAGTTAAACATAACACGAAAAGACACACTATAAAATATTACCTCGATCAAAGAGACACGATTTAAATAAAAACAACACTGAACGAATAAGTATGATCCGCGACACAATATAATATTTAAGAGTTGAATGCTTCTTTTTGTAAATTCATTTGGGTGTAAAAGCGATGACCGAAGTACATTTTGTCTAAAAATGTGCGCACGGTCAACGCTATTACAACCCTATGCAATTACAAAAAGAAGCATTATATACTTCTAATTACATTTTTTTAGCTAGGATCAGGAAAACACGATTTATATCCAGTTTCTCTTTTATTTACATGTGCACTTTTTTGTGGGAGCTCGTGTCATCATGAATGTTACATTTCATTGTGTAATGAATGTTAATTTCAGAAGGACGCGAGATTGCTGTTAGAAAATAAAAATAACGTATCATAATGAAACATACATGCAATGCAATTATATACAAAACGAGGGCAAAAACACATATGAACTACAACAATCCACCCGATCCTGCAATGTTAGCCAGTAATAGTGGAAATCTATTAGTAAAATTAGTCCGCTAGTAGTACTAATAACAGTATACTTTTATACTGCACAGTACAAATGTTAGAAGTTGTAGAACTAACAACGTACAATATATACATATTACTTAGTACAAACACGGATCTTTTCCGGGATATTATGGCGTAGTATTACAGTTTCAGTGTTACCACTAATAAGGTTAACAACGTACTTGTTATATTACCCGGATCAACGCCGGGAACAACTTCTGCGGTAAGCGACTGCTTATGTCAGTTTTTGAAACAACACAAATTGTAATTATGGAGTATTACGATATTAGTCGTTATAAGCGACAGCTTTTATAGTTAAAACAATACTCTAAATAGTCCTTTTCTTTTCTTTTTTTTAACGAATGCTTGCTATTCTAAAAAGACTGATTTTGCTTACTCGGAATCATAAAAAGTTTATTTATTTTGTAAAAACGGCTTTTTATTTGTTGGCTTTAGATATATACCTCCACCTGAAGCTAGGCAATAGCTCTTTGGCCAATAAACATCAGACTGAAAAATGAAACTATATTCATTTTTTTCTTCATCTTTTTAGGTTTTATTGGAAAATAGTTGCTATGACGGATCAGTTAGATGATACCTCAGTTCTCACTCCAGCATGATGCAAAATGTATCAAAATAAGCATATATGACTTAAGGATGTTCGCTCATTTTTGTCAGATATTCGGAATCCTCTGGTTTTATCCATTTAGTACCCATTAAAAAATTTGCCCATTAAGCCCTACTTTTCTTTTCATAATTTTATTACATATAGATTAAAAAGTCATATTTGAAAATCTTATAAAACCTTGTTATTTTTTCATAGTTTTTGAAAGAAAATGCTGCCAATGTTAATTTTATGAAAAATCTAGAGAGAATCATTTCCCGCCAAATTTTCAATGGCTTATATCTCAAAAACAAGCACACGGACCTATCATTTTTTTTCTTCTTTTTAAGTTCCGTTATGATATTCTATAAATTCATAACAGTCTTGTTATTTTGAAACAGAGTAGCAAACATCCTTAAACATAACAGTTGGATTATCCATACCTGCATGATGGATTGGATACGAAATTTATTAAATAAGCATTATATGACATAAATCGACATAATGCGAAGCATACTTTTCATAACAATTATTGAGAATAATCTGTACATTGCATGTGCATAATCTGTATATATAATTTTTGAGAATATGTTCATGTGCCATGGTATTGTTTACTATTTTGAGCGCTCTTGAATAAAGAATATGTTATAAGACAATTTCGCAGTGTAATATTTTTTAAGATATATTTTTTCGTTTACATGAATTAAGACGCATTTTTTTGGAAAATCAGTTACAAATATATATCAAATATAAACCAGGATTTATAAATGTTTTAACCTATTTATCGCCCCGTTTATCACTCGATTTATTTTTTAATGTTCTAAATTATTTTTATTGGAATCTAGGCTAAACCTCGGTGCTACTTTTAGGTATGCACCCAGATCTACAACGTACGTCACGAGTCACGTGTTATTTGTAAGTTTCCAGCCGCCATTTTTGGAATTTTGAAGCGATCAAAGGTAAGTATTCTATGATTTATTTGCCATGAAAGCATGTATCGGTAAAAATATATAGACAAGCACATAACAGGGGTCGATACTGACATGGTTTAGCATTACTGTTTCATGTTAACACGACCTAACTTTTCAAACACTCTCAAAAACCGTGAGCGGATCCTGCATCTGTACAATGTCAACATTGACGTTTGTGAAAGTACTATCTTTTCCCTCGTAACAGAATGATAAATATCCGAGGGGGGGGGGTGGGGGTACAAGTCAAATCGGCATCTAGTCAAATCCAATAATATTTCATTATTTGATACAATATAAACAGATAAATAATTCAAAAAATCTCAGTAAAAATGTATAAATGATCTTTCTATCTTTAAATTATTGTTGGGGTTTGGCTTTATCTTTTTAATTTATATTACTCATTACATCTACATATAGCATGTATAGTTAAAAATCACCAAGCAGTTAGAATACATATTATAAGTTTTCTCAACAATCTATGACTGACGTTTTGAATAGTTATCTTTTCAATTGATATTAATAACTTTTATCAATTAGTGAATTACAATTTACAGTTATTATTACATAATTTATTAACATGTTTGTTTGTTTTAAATCTAAACAGGTTGTTATTGATGTTTTTTTACTTTAAAAACTTAGTAAAATACATGAAGCCATTACACAAGCTGTTGTTGTTTGATCATGAGAAAATTAGAAGCAGGAAAAGGGGAAATTATGAGTCCCTTTCATTACTATCACTAATCAACCTTGAATGTCAATTAAGGTGTTTTTTTTCAGGAAAGTTTAAACAGCATTAAACCAACAATAATGGAAAATTCTCCTTTAGTCATGTTGGTTAAAACAGAGACATATATATGTCTCTGGTTAAAACATGCATAAAAATATCTATAAATACCGCGAATACACATCAAGTTGAATGGAAAAAATACATGCACAGAAACCACCCAAAAATGAAAATAAGTCAATATTTCTAGACAACGCCTTGTTTATTTTAATCTATTTGCTTCAAATACTGAAAATATTTAACATGGGTGGCGAAATGAATACATCGGGTGCCGATTTAACAAGGTACCAATTTGACCAAGTGCAGATTTGATCTCAGGTTACATTTGTACAAGGAGACAAAATTCAGCTAAATACCAAAATTGCAAATACAATTACACATAACCCAGAGATCATTATTTGCTTTCCAAAATAAATTACTGTACCAATCGGAATTTTAACCTGTGACCCTTTGCACAGAAAGTCTCTGCTCTACCAACTCAGCTAAATGAGTAATCCACAAGCACATGTTTAAGTATCAACAAGGTAAGACCTAATGACATACCGGCAATGTCAACATCACTTACCCTGGCTGTGTAAGTGTAATTTCATTCCACCCTGTTTTTATTCCAGGTGACTGTTTTTCACTAGAGAATATTGGATGTAAATAGTGTGAAAGCGTCGATCTTGATCATTGTTTTTGTCCAGCCTGTGACTATTGTCGCAGAAAGCTCGACATAGGGATAGTGATCCGGCGGCAGCGTTAGCTAACTTCTTAAAAGCTTTATATTTTAGCAGGTAGAAGACCTGGATGCTTCATACTTTGTATAAAGATGCCTCATGTTACGAAGTTTCCGTCTGTCACATGTCCATTGTCCTTGACCTCATTTTCATTGTTCAGTGACTACTTGAAAAAAAAGTTAAGATTTTTTGTAATGTTAATTTCTCTCTCATTATGAGTAATAGTATAACTATATATGGTAAGGTATGTGCGTAGCTTGCAAGGTCCTTATGCCCGTCAGACAGTTTTCACTTGACCTCTACCTCATTTCATGGATCAGTGAACAAGGTTAAGTTTTGGTGATCAAGTCCATATCTCAGATACTATTAGCAATCGGTCTTATATATTCGGTGTATGGAAGGACTGTAAGGTGTACATGTCCAACTGGCAGGTGTCATCTGACCATGATCTCATTTTCATAGTTCAGTGGTTATAGTTAAGATTTTGTGTTTTGGTCTATTTCTCTTATACTGTATGCAATAGGTCTACTATATTTGGTGTATGGAATTATTTTATGATGTACATGTCAGTCTTGTAGGTTTTATTTGACCTTGACCTCATTTTCACGGTTCATTGCTCAGTGTTAAGTTTTTGTGTTTTGGTCTGTTTTTCTTAAACCATAAGCAATAGGTCAACTATATTTGTTGTATTGAAGAATTGTAAGCTGTACATCTCTGTCTGACATGGTTCATCTGACCTTGACCTCATTTTCATGGTTCATTGGTCAATGTTTAGTTTTCTTGGTTAAGTCTGTTTCTTAGAAACTATAAGCAATAGGTCAGCTATATTTTGTGTATTGAATAATTTTAAGGTGTACATGTATTTCTTGTTTGGTTTATATGACAGTGACCTCATTTTCTTGGATCATGTTAAGTTTATGTGATAGTTGTAGTAAAGCTTTATATTTAGGACTATCAACATAATATCAATGATTAGTATTTAAGAAGGCGAGACATTTCAGGATGTGCACTCTTGTGTTTATATTAGACCAGTTTATTGTTTAATACATAAATTAATAGGTTAAAATTAGAATAGTTTTCAAGGAACCAGTTTCATTATAAATAGATATTGACATTGAAGATATGATTTTATATCGAAGTCTACCAAAACGCAAATGCACAGAAAAACTTTGGCAATCCAGTATATATGAATATTACAATTTAGTGACAATTTAAAAGCATATATTATATGATTTAATTGATGGTTTTCATTAGAAAAATTATCAAAATTTAATTTGTAAATAAATCATTATATTGTGTTATCATGTAGTGTTCAAAGTGAGTACTAAAATAGTTCATCAGAAGACATCACTGTATATGAATCTTAAATCCCAGTTCAAAGTAACTAGTGCAATCATTCCAGGTACAAAATCACTAGTCAGTAGTGTAATAATTCCTGGTTCAAAATCACTAGTGTTATTGTAAGCCATAATAGTGTCCTGTGAAAAAGTGTCCAGTTGGACAGTTTTTCATAGAATTTTGGTATTTAATAATGTCCATTGCCATGATATATTGTCCCTCAAGTAGACAGATTTTTACTGCAAAAGTTATGAAATAGTGTCCACCCACAGGACAAGTTTTCATACTAGTTGCTATTAAATTGTGTCCTCCAAGGGAAGTAATACAAAGGTCATTAAAAAGTTTTATTGTACTTGAAATTTTAATAAAATCAGAAGGATTGAGTAGAAATTGATTTATATAAACAAACAAATAATGGATGGAAGTGAATATAGATACATTTAAGTTCTAAGAAATACCCAGCTAATGCTAATAACAATGAAAGAAGAACAATAAGAAGGGAGTGTGTAAAGTATAAAATCAAATGTGAAGAACTTAACTATATTTATCATGAGAAGAAGGCAAAAGAAAATATTGAATTTTGGTATTAAATAATAATGTCCATTGCCATGCAATATTGTCCCCTAAGTGGACAGAATTTTACAGCAAAAGTTATGAAATATGGTCCACCTACAGGACTAGTTTTCGTAGTAATTGTTATCAAATTGTGTCCTCCAAGGAAAATAATATTGAACAGCATCTGTTACTTGTTTGAATTTAAATCATTATACATGTATATATATATATATATATATATATGTTGAAAACATATACAAGTCTAAATTGAAAACGACGTTCAAACCTATGATTGCGTTGGATAAAAACCGCAATTTTTATACGTGTGCATATATATATATATATATATATATATATATATATATATATTAAAAAATAAGAAGATAAGGATGGTATGAGTGCCAATGAGACAACTCTCTGTCAAAGTAACGATGTATTTAAAGTTAGCAATTACAGAATTATAGTATTAAATAATGTCCATGTTCATGGACACTTTTTCATACCTGAGGACATAATTTCATAGGAAATTGTGTCCGGGACACATTTAAATAAGTAAATATTGTCCATGGACAGTATTTACTATGAAATAATGTCCGGTGGACATTATTTCATGGGGACATTAATAAATCCTACATTATCAGAATCCTGGTTCAAAACATTTATGTGAACATTCCATGGACATGATGGATGAAAAACACTAAGTTTACTTTGTCCATTTTTTACATAAATCAGCTATGCAAGTTAAATAGTTAATTCAAATATCCCCCATAAATACCAAGCCCCATTTTTTATACATTTCCCCTTCAAAAAACTCTCTATAGAATTTTATCAAGAGTGGTGAATATTTTACTCTGGACCTGGATTAAAAACCCTAGTGAATTTTTGTTGGTGGATTATAAACACTTGGGATTTTCATCCTCCACTGGCGGAATCAAACCACTGTTACAACTGCATGTAGGTTTTACTTTTAACCAGTCCCTTGGTTTTTTTGTGTGTTGCTTAAGTGTTTTGTGTGTGGTTATAAATACACTTTGAAAATATGGAAAAAAAATTCAAATAGTTATAATTGCCATATAATAATAATAGTATAGGTAATATAATAATTACATATTGTGTGAAAAGATTGATTATGCTAATGGTTTGTTTATATTTTCTTTGTTGAAGCTCCGTGCCTAGACTGCAGTTTTTGGCAATTCTCAACATTAGGAAAGAAAACTTGAAAGAAAACTTGAAACAGCAACCAAGATACAGATACATGTATGAACAGTTATTGAATATGTAAAACTTTTATTTTAGCGTACTCAACATCACCTGATTTTGTACTTGAATTAACGTTTTCTGGCTTTCTTAAATGAACATTGAAAATTTATACTACTCTTATTGGAGACTCAGTTGCAGCAAATTACATTAAATTTAAATTCAAAAGAACACACATTCTAAAATTGAGAATCATTTGAGAACTGAAATGGGGAATGTGTCAAAGAGAAAACAACCCCACCAAAGAGCAGAAATAATCCAAAGGCTACAAATAGGTCTTCATCTCTAGCCAATGTAGAATAAACAAACAGCACTATGCACAAGTCCTAGTCACATGTCAGAATAGGTACATTGTAAATGAAGAAACTAAGCAAAATGACCATGATACATAAATTTACAAAGTTCTACTATCAGTTACTGACATGCCAGTTCCAGATTTGAACTAAACTGATTGACAGATTATGTCTTCATCATATGAAAATCAAGCATAATCCCTCCTGTTTAGGGTGTAGTATCATACCATGGTTAAAAATATGAGAAGAACATAAAATTGAGAATGGAAATGGGGAATATGTCAAAGAGACAACAACCCGACCAAAGAGCAGACAACAGCCGAAGGCCACCAATGGGTCTTCAATGCAGAGAGAAAATCCTGTATCTTGCCAATACCGGTACCTGGTTTTAGAATAAATGTGTTTACATCTGATTTAACGACCCTATGAATGAATCAATATTAATTCCAAAATATGCCATCTTTAATTACCCCAAAACAGTATCGTTACTATATATCCCTTCTAAATAAGTCAGATTAAACTTTTATAAACTGAGGTTTACTGGGGTGACTGACAACATTTTTGTGCTTTGTATAGAATATTACCATAAAATATTTGATGTGAAATTTAATTGCACATCCAAAGTGAAATACCTGAACGTATAAGATGTCTACATGTTGATCTTTATTTATGAATGATGTCCTTGTACCGATTATAATATTTCTTAAATGTTTTGACTAGTTTGTGATATCAAAAACTTTGATGTAATAATTTTCAGTAATACAGAAATTTCTTCCATTAAAATCAAATATGTTGTTTCATACACGAGCGAATCGAACAAGTTCAGATATGTATAAACGTTACTCCATAAGATGGAGAGAATTGAATGTCAATAAATGTTTCTTATAATTAGTTCTTGAATAAATTCCAGTAGTATTGCTTTTTTCAAAGATAATATTGTATTATGATGTCATTTTGTGGGGAAAAAATCCCTCTAAACTATTCTATTAGTTAGCTAATTATTCACATACATGAATAAATCCTTATTTTCAGGTACAGATGCCCTTAAAGTTTTTGATGAAGTTAAGAGCAAGATACTATCCCATCCAGCAGTGATACGGTATGACCAATTCCCAGACAATATGACAAAGAATAACAATTGGACACCAACAGTTCACATATGAGAAGATGTTTTTAGGGTAAACCACATTGCCGGTCTTCAAATGACACAGAAATTAACAACTATAAGGTCACCGTACCCCTTCAACAAAGAACAAAAGCAACACCACATACATGACATAGTCACCTATAAAAAGCCCCAAAATAAAAAAAAGTAAAACAATTCTAACGAGAAAACTAATGGCCTAATTTATGTAAAAAATAATATGTATTACTCAGCAACAAATAACAACTACTGAATTCGTAACATATGTTCCTGACATGGGACAGGCACATACAAATGTGCAGGATTAAACTAGTTTGAAGACGCCAACCCTTCCCCTAACCAGGAACAGTGGTGTAACAGTACATCATAACAACAAACTATAAACTTTAAATCAGTTGAAAAAGGCTTAACTCATCTCATGGATACGAATAGAATTACATGTAACAAAAACACAAATTGGACATGGATGAGTACTTGTACATCCCAACAACAAAAACTAGAAAACTAATGGCGTAAAGTAATTAATGAACAAAAAAATGAACGAAAAACAAATATGTCAAGAGTTTTGTGCCGACCACCTTTCCATCAGGTGGTCAGCTTTTTTTTCAAATTCCGTTTTTTTTTTTTTCGGTTCCACACCGTAAAAATTTAAATACTAATTGCGCCTCGCTGATTTGTTTTCATAGACAAAAATGGCAGATCGTCAAATTTCAATGTTTTCTTTTATTAATCGGGGGAAGAGAAAGGCAGATGACGATGGTGATAAGGAAAATTCTAGGCCAAATAAGTCAACTAAAATGGATATTTGTATTGAAATTGTTGAAATTGAAAAAAAGCATCAAAACAACGGAAAAGGCACGCAAGCGAAGATAAATATGAACAGGACTTTAAATGGCTAATCGTCACAGAGGAAGATTATTACTGTTCTGTGTGCCAAAAATACAGCACTAAAGCGAGGAACAGGACAGAAACTTGGATCGATAGGCCATGCATTCGCAGGAGAAGGGAGTCCTGCAAAAGCCATCTAGCTAGCTGCTATCCGAGATGCACAAAACTAATTTGTCAAATCAAATCAAAGAATATTTGACAGTTTATGTGACTACATCTATTTATTTTTGTTCAATTCCATTAAATGTGAATACAATACTAATCCTTCTTTTTGTGACCCCTACCCACAGTAAAAAAAAACCAGGTTGGAAATGTTTTAAAAAAAACAACACCCCGTTGCAAGTGTTTTTTTCAAAACACCCACCTTACCTTAGTGAAAAAAGGGGAACACTGTATGTAACACAGCAACAATGGCAATTAATTAACCACTGAATAACAGGGTCCTGACTTGGACAGGCACACACACTTAAAGTATAGATCTGAGAGTACTCACAGTTACTGACAGCTAGTTCATGTAGTTCAAAGCCAATAACAACTAATAAAAAAAATCATGCATCTAAGACTAATTAAATTATCAATTAATACACATGCAACATCCATATATATGTATATAACTATATGATATTTAGTTTGATTTTAATTTACTGATAACAAATCAATATTAATACCAATAAAAGCAATATTCAAAGATCTAATTACAGTGTTGATTTTGGTAACCTTTTCGAATAAGTTTTTTTAAAGGATCTATAAGTTTACCTGGATCGTTTCTAAATTTCTGGGCTAGGAAAACAATTTAACATATGATCAACATATACATTTGTACTCATATTTGTTCTTTTTTTCTTTTGAGGCAGACTTCATACATGTACAGGAGCTTCTAAGGAGGAATTGAAAAGAAGATTGCATTATCCTTAACTTCACATTTTGCTATAAAGATGATTTCCTTTTATTGAATAATTCAAAGAATGGTGACTTTGTTGAACGCATGTATCCCATTGAACTTGAAATAAAGGATTCAACAGATACAGGTAAATCTGCCTCATATCTTAACTGACATCTAGAAATAGACAATGAGGGTCGGTAAAGAACAAAACTTTTAAGACTAAAGAGATGATTTCATCTTACTAATTATGAACTTTATATTTCTGCAGTTACCACGATCCCAATATGGCGGAGGTAGAAATAAGTAAAATCGATTTCTGCTAATTTTCCGTTTAAATGTGTTGTTTTCAAGAACTACTCAGCCGCCAGGTTGATCTGTATTATTTTGTTGTGTATGTGTGTTATAAATATCATGTATGGCCTCATTACCGAAATAATATCCATCAAATATTTTAGGAAGATAATCGTAACTTAAATAAAAAGATAATGGTAACTTGTGGACAAATCACTTGAAAGATTAATTGTAACTGCAGAATATTTCAATGATAATAGCTGTTGATTTTGATTTAAAAAAAAGAAAATCATCACTGGTGTTAAACTGATCATAGAAACTGCAGTTACCACTATCCCAATATGGCTGAAATAAGTAAAATCTATTTCTGTTAATTTCTCTGTAAACATGTTGTTTACGAGAATTAGTCTGCTGCTAGCTATGTTGATCTGTTGATGGGGACAGCGACTATATCTAAATGTTGCTTGAAAGTTTGATAGTGTTACCAGAAATAGTGCATACATAGTTATCTTAAACTAATTTACTTTTTGCTTTGTAGATATATATTCTATATATTTCGCAAAAGTTTAAATTGAGGGTAAATATTGATTGGTATTGAGTATACTTAAAGAGGTAAAACATGTACATGTATTCATTAATTTAAATGATTTTAAAGTTTTATTAGATAAAAAAATCAATCAATCAATAACCGTTTTAGCGTGCCCTTAGTACTGGCAACTTGGCTTGTGATACTCTCTGGGACTTGCAGTTCACTTACAGATATATCGACCTAGTAGTAGTTATAAGATTTTAAATAGTTACAATGATCTGGCGCTGCAACAGATGTGTATTTGACAACTCATATTAAGTCTTTTTTAAGTGATTCTCTAGACCAAAACCTAATATGCTACAAATGTCAATTGCCATAATTTGATCAAACTATCTTCTGTTTTTCTGGACAACTTGATATATCCTCTCTCTGAAACACAATTTGTTTTGACCTGCATCTCATTTTAGAATATAACTATGATTTCCCATTTTATGTTATGGCTTGATGGACAGACCGTATATCAAAAAGCTGTGATTAAAATAACTTGTCAATATTTTATGCTCAACCTATATATACCTATCACAATTTTCACAATAATTAAAAAATAAACATCATAAAAAATATTCATTTAAATGTAAAAGTCCTATGCATACCAGTTATTTTTTTTTTAAATGTGAACTGTAGAAGCTAGGTCATTATTTGTATTGATATGCCAGGAATAGATTGTCATTATTCACAGTTATACTGTGGAACATGCTTTTTCCCCAATCTGTCAAAATTATATTAAAAAATGTCTACTTCTTTCAGGTGAATCCTTGCTGGGTCATTGAAAAACCTACTGGAAGTTCTTCTGATACTGGAAATTGAAAACAAATGGTCAGTATGATTACATTACCAGCATTGTATAAAATTCCTGTGGTAAAGAGGATATCGATTGCTTGGGTAAATGTCAAGCATAAATACATTGTACTTCATTTCCACTTCATATTGACATTGTTGATGTCGGTGTATAAGATGATTATATATGATGTTTTACTGTATTACAATGGAAAATAATAGATTTGTAAATTACCCAAGTTTATTCTGTTTATTTATATCTTAATTTTCTCTTTCCTTAGTTACAAATGTTGTTTTAACTTAATTAAGTGAGTGTTGAATGTAAAAAGATAGAGATGTGGTATGATTACCAATATGACAGCTATCCACAAATGATGTGGATATAAGGGACAATAAATAATGCCTTCAACAATGAGTATTAAAGATCTGAACCTCGACAAATTAAAAAGAATAACGACCAGATTTATGACAAAATAAAATGAAAAACAATTAATATGGAAACTAACCACTGAATTTCAGGCTCCTGGTTCCAGATTTTGGACAAGCACATACAGATTTTAATTTGGTTTAACTTGTGAGCACTTAACCAAGGAATATTAACAATATGTAACAAAAAATCTCTCCTTTGGCTTACCTTCTATTGAGTTCTTGCATAGAGTTTTCCATCTATCAGGAAACTGACTTATTTAATTCAAGAAATCCACAATTATTTATTTTTATTTTTCTCTTTATATATTGCATTTTTTCCTTAATATATCAAAAGCTATAATAGAAGAGAAGAGAACGATACCAAATGAACATTCAAAAGACCAACAGACAACCAATAGTGCACAAAACATATAACAGTAAAGACTGAGCAACAAGGACCCCACCAAAAACTGGGAGTGTTCTCAGATGATCTGGAAGGGTAGGCAGATCCTGCTCCACATATGACAATTGTATAGATGTAGAGATAATTTAACTTGGTTTAACTTGTGAGCACTTAAATATCAAAAATGGTCTAGTTTCTGGTGTCAAAATTTATGAAACCTGAAACTGTATTAAATGTTTCTCTTTTGTTTGGGAAAGAATTAAGTATTTGTTTATGTGCATCACTAAAATATGCAAGACAGGCCCTACACCTGACAACCTCATGTTTTTTTATATGACTGCAAAAATATTTTGGGGTTTGCATAATGCTATGATGCTGTCGTTGTCGTCGTTGTCTGATGACACATTTGGTTACTGGACAATAACTTTAGTTAAAGTGAATTGATCTCCATGAAATTTTACAAGAAGGTTCAATACCACAAAAGGAAGGTTGGGATTGATTTTTGGTGTTATGGTACCAACAGTTCAGGATTTAGGGGCCAAAAACAAGTATTTTTATAGTTTCTGGACAATAAACTTGTGTGTAAGTGTATGTGTAGGATTAAATAGTGTCCCCCATGAAATTATGTCCCATGGACAAAATTTCACGGATATGACCTGTGAAATTTTGTCCAGGACAGAATTTTATTATAAAATATTGTCCACTTCTGTGTAAAAGTGTCCCTTGAAAAGATATTCTATTTTAACCTTTGTTGGATATTTTTTCATAGTGAAATCATGTCCAAATTGCATAAAAGTCTTGTCTAATACCAAACAATTTAATTACAATAAATAATAAGACTAAATCGACATTTGTTTTTAAATATACAGTAGGAATCAATGAACTGTTTTAACATCTTTGGATTGTCATTTTTAACAAGATCAATAATATCATGAATAATATTCATAAATACTCGATTGTCGCTTCTTCTTGCGCATACGTTTGGGTCTAAAAGGCATGTATATAAAACATTTCATTGTTTTTAATTTCAAATTGCTTGGCCTTCCTTCTAAATGATCTTCTTTCATTATTATTAAACTCTGGAGGGTATTGACCATCAAACAAAAAGTCATATAGCTGTTTATATTCACCACTTTCCATATTTGTTCACATCTGTTGTCTTGATTTAAATTTCAATTATGATTTGACTAATTGATTAAAACATTTCAATGATTGCTAAATTATGTCCCTTCTTAAGGGACAGAAAAAACAGCTACACTATGAAAAATTGTCCCATGTGACATATTTTTATAAAACATCTATGAAATTATGTCCAAGTACAAGGGACAATTTTTCACTAAGGGAGACACTATTTTATTGTCGAGCCTTCGACTTAAGTCGAAAAAGCGAGACATAGGGATCCTACATTCCGTCGGCGGCGTCCACAAATATTCACTCTGTGGTAAAGTTTTTCAAATTTTAATAACTTTCTTAAACTATCCTGGATTTCTACCAAACTTGGACAGAAGCTTGTTTATGATCATAAGATAGTATCCAGAAGTAAATTTTGTATAAATAAAATTCCATTTTTTCCGTATTTTACTTATAAATGGACTTAGTTTTTCTGCATGGAAATATTACATTCACTCTGTGGTTAAAGTTTTTAAAATTTTAATAACTTTCTTAAACTATCCTGAGTTTGTACCAAACTTGGACAGAAGCTTGTTTATGATCATAAGATAGTATCCAGAAGTAAATTTTGTAAAAAAATTAATCCATTTTTTCCTTATTTTACTTTTAAATGGACTTAGATTTTCTGCCAGGAAACAACATATTCACTCTGTGGTTAAAGTTTATAAAATTTTAATAACTTTCTTATACTATTTTGGATTTGTACCAAACTTTGACAGAAGCTTGTTTATGATCAAAAGCTAGTATCTAGAAGGAAATTTTATAAAAAAAATAAATCCATTTTTTCTGTATTTTAATTTTAAATGGACTTAGATTTTCTGCCAGGAAACAAAACATTCACTCTGTGGTTTAAGTTTTTAAAATTTTTATAACGTTCTTATACTATTTTGGATTTGTACCAAACTTGGACAGAAGCTTGTTTATGATCAAATGCTAGTATCTAGAAGGAAATTTTGTTTTCTTCCAGTTAACATTACATTCAGTCTGCAGTTAAAGTTTTTAAACATTTATTAGATTCATAAACTATCCTGGATTTTTACCAAACTTGGACAGAAGCTTCTTACAATCAAAAGATAGTATCAAGAGGAATATTTTTATTGATTTACTTCCTCATTTTTGTTGAGGCTGTGATTAACAGAAAAAGTAGGCGAGACACTGGGTTCCGCGGAACCCTTACAAATTTTAGTTTACAATATTGATATTCTGTCCCGTGAACGAAATTTCACAGATGAACTGTGAAATATAGTTCAAGAAGACACAATTTCATGGGACAATGGATCTCTCTGAAATTATACCACAAGGTTCCATATCACAAAGGGAAGGCTGTGATTGAGTTTGGGGGTAATTAATTGCCCCAAACATCAGTCAGAGCTCTGACATAAACAAGTCAGAATAAAATGACTTCTTCAAGTCAGAAAGTGTTTTGAAATTCTGACCTGTACGCGTCAATTTTTGTTTTGCGTAGTTTTCACTCGAGTCCGTCAAACCAGAAGTTATTTTGAATTTGCCGCCGATCTACGACACATACGATCACGTGGTTTTTTGCAATAGATCACGTGTTTGAGAGTCGTTGTTTTGGAAGTGTCTTGAACGAGAAGTCATTGAATATTATATTGATTATTTACGATTTTTAGTGAAAATCTAGGTCATTGTGGGCATTCTTAGAAAGGTAATTCATATTACCTCCGTATTTTCATGGGCATTTTTATATTTTTTGCCTATAAAGAAGTTCCTTGCAAGTGATTTTTTTGCTGTTTCATGAAGGCGCGCGACCTGTAAATACGGACGCGTGGTCTTTTAGATGACCTGGTGTTTGACAATTCTGACTTGTTCAGGTCAGAAAATGTTGTTATGATAATGAATTGTTATTTTCGGGAGATAACTCGTGTTGTCTTAAACAATATTAACATTATTAACCAGTCAGTGCAATTTAAAAAGTAAAATTATTGCTTCGAGCTGAACATCGTCACATGATTTTTTCTATTTTTAAACTCAATCACGAACTGATTTTTTAACCTTTGTGATTCGTTTCTCCCTATGAGAAAAACGATCATTGTGAATATTGATATGATGATAATGAAACGAAAATGGGAAAAATTTTAATAAAAGAAAAAGGAAGGGAGGGTTTAAACTAAAGAACCCAAGGGTTTTTATTTTTATTTTTAAAGTTATAACTTGAGAACAATAAGTGATGCACACACCTGGTCTTCATTTATGATCATGGGACATGATAAAACAAATCAAATGAAATGTAGGGCAAGTCTCCAGGGATCACCCCTATCTCTGTCATTTCTCTATTCCTCTTTATAATGTCAAATACACCGTATCGCTATTCCCGCTTGACCCGAGAATCTGTCCCGCTCGAACTTTTGACGTCATGCAACAATCACTTTTCCATTGTGGCGTCAGATATTTTCTATTATGACGTCAAAATTTTTCGGGAACTTGTGTGATGTCCAGTAATGGCGGATAAATAGCGATAAGGTGTATTGATTTGAATGAAATATACCGGGCTAGTCTCCAGGTTTACCCCCACCCCCTGCCATTTGCAAATGTTCTTATATTTTGTAAACGGTAGAGATCCCCACCCCTAAACCATATATATTCTTGTATGGGACAATTTAACAAATCAAATGATATGTTGGGGAGGTCCCTGGCCCCTACCCCTCCTGTTTGAAAACTTGTAAACGGTCGAGATCCCCACCCCTAAACCATATATTTTCTTGAATAGGACAATAAAACAAATCAAATGAAGTATAGGGGAAGTCCCTTGGGGTCACCCCCACCACCTCCTGTGTGAAAACTTGTAAACGGTCGGGATCCCCACCCCTTAACCATATATATTCTTGTAAGGGTCAATAAGACAAATCAAATGAAATAAAGGTGGAGTCCCTGAGGGTCACCCCACCCCCTCATGTTTGAAAACTTGTAAACGGTCGAGATCCCCACCCCTACACCATATACATTCTTGCACAGGACAATAAAACAAATCAAATGAAATATAGGGGAAGTCCATTGGGGTCATCCCCATCCCCCTTTTTGAAATGTTCTGGATCAC